AGGGAGGGAGGGAGGGAGACAGACCTCGCCAAGAGACAGAGGAGGCTGGCTGAGATCAGAAGCATGATGCTGTTGAGTGAGAGGTGGCATGGTGGAGGCTGGGAACCACACACACCTGCGTGAATTCTTCGCCCAGCTTAAGATTACATCTTAAGTAGCACAGCGCAGGCACAAACCCAGGATCTGACATTGTTGGCACAGTGTGTATGGGCCATGGTGTTTCCTCACACAGGCAGATTCCTGTAACTGTCGCTCCAACCAAAACACAGGCCCACTCCATCACCACAGAGACCTCTTTCATGTCACCCCTGTAGTCACACTCCAACAGCCTTACCCTTTGACAATTGTTAACTGCTTTTCACCTGCATAGTTCTGTCATTTAAAGAATAATACATATGAGGTATCACACAGCATATGATATCTTCAAGTTGGCTTTTTTCACTTAGCACAACACCCTTGAGGGTCATCCAAGTTACCACCTACAGTTTGCTCCTTTTTATTGCTGAGTAGTATTTCACAGTATAGATGTAAAAATTTGTTTAAGGCTGGGCTCAGTGGCTCAGCCTGTAATCCCAGCACTTTGGGAGGCTGAGGCGAGTGGACTGCCTGAGTCTGCGGGTTCAAGATCCACCCAGGGAACTTGGCGAGCCCTCATCGCTACAAAAAATCAAAAAAATTAGCTGGGCGTGGTAGCGCGCACCTGTAGTTTCGGTTACTTGGAAGGCTGAGGTGGAAGGATTGCCGCAGCCCAGCAGGTCGAGGCTGTGGCGGCCGCAAGTGTGCCTCTGCGCCCCAGTCTGGGTGACAGAGTGAGACTCCACCTCAAAAAGAAAGTTTGTTTAACCATTCACCCACTGAAGGACATTTAGGTACTTTCCAGTTTTTGGCTCTTGCGAATAAAGCTGTGTAGAAGGTTCTGTGTTGAATGTAAGTTTCCAGTAACCTGGGATAAGTCCCCAAGAGTAGAAATGCTGAGTTACGTGGTAAGTGCATGTTTGGTTTTTAAAGAAGCTGCCCATGACACGGTGCCACAGGAAGAAATACACCTTTGGTCTCTGCTCCCATTTCCTGGCACACAGATCCTGAAACCCTTGGAATCTACAACCTTTGGGAGTGGTGTGTGTCCTGGGATGAGAAGGTCGGAACTTTCAGTGCCAGCCCTACATCCTGGAAGGGAAGAGGAACTGGAGAGCCAGCTAGTCAGCAGTGGCCAACGATCTGATCAATCATGTCTACAAAAGGGAGCCTCCACAAATGGCCAAAAGGACAGGACGTGAGCACTTCTGGGCTGCTGGACACCTCCAGGTGCCAAGGGCGGTGTTCCCCGAGGGCTTGGAAGCTCTGTGCTCCTCCTGTACCTTGCCCTAGGCACCTCTTCCATCCATTTGGCTGTTCTGACCTCCACAAGTTATGCCTTGTAAGGGTGATTAAAGAAAAGCAGAAAGGAGACTTTGCTTTGTTCTGGTTTTCTCTACTTGTAGTTGGGACTAAGTTAAATGAGGGTGCTTGGCACATAGTAACCCTAAATAAACTCACCTCAATGTGAATTGGTTTTATGACTAAAGGTGTCTCACACTGTGAAGATATTTTTAAACTATTTAATCAATCAGTTTAACAGCATTATATGAATGGGAAACAGATTTGTGGGGGTCAGGGTCTCTCTCTCCCGCATCCCCCCAGAGACAGTCTTGCTCTGCTGCTCACTGTAACCTCGAGCTCCTGGGCTTAAGTGATCCTTCTTCCTCAGCCTCCCAAGTAGCTGGAACCACAGGCGTGCACCACCACGCCCCACTGATTTTTTTTTTACCTTTTTATAGACAGGGGTTCATATTCACTTTTCGGGCCACCCAAGCTGGCCTCAAACTCCTGGCCTCAAGCAATTCTCTGGCTTTGTCCCTCAAAGCGCCAGGGTTACAAGCTTGAGCCGCCCCACCCAGCCTAGCCTGTCTCATTCCTCCCCCTAGGAAGATCCTACTGGGAGCCAGGAGGGAGAGGGGGGCTGAAGCTCTGAAGGAAGAAAAGATGGGGCAAGAAAGAGCTAGACTGTCTTCGATCACACACTGCGTCTCCTTTCCACAGCCTCTCCCTTAGAAGCTAAAGACCCAGCCAGCTGATTCCCAGCATGACACAGAGCAAGGAAATTCTCGGCACCTCACACATGCTACTCATGCTGAGACAACAAAGGGACCAAGAGAGGGCCCAAGGCCAATCAGGAGGCTCAGATGTGTCCCCCACTGCAGCAGTGAGAGTCAACAAGTTCTGGGGTTTTCGGATTGGTGACACACAAGCAGGCTGCCCTTCCTTTTGCAGCTCTTCTGGTAAGGTCTACTTCTTTTTGAAAAGCATTTGCAGCTGGGCTCAGTGGCTCAGCCTGTAATCCCGCGCTTTGGGAGGCTGAGCTGAGTGGACTGCCTGAACCTGCAGTTTGAGACCTGCCTGGGCAACTTGGCGAGACCTTATCTCCACAATAAATCAAAAATTAGCCGGGCGTGGTAGTGAGCGCCTGTAATTCCGGCTACTTGGAAGGCTGAGGTAGAAGGATCGCCGGAGCCCAGCAGTTGAGGCTGCGGTGGCCAGGAGTGGCCACTGCACTCCAGTCTGGGTGACAAAATGAGACTTCAA